GTATTTATTAATTATTGACGTTATTTTGATTCAAATAGATTTTTCAATTTGCCACCATATTATAGTTTCTTTCATATATATATATATATATGGAATTATAATTAGTTTTAATAATACAAACAGAAAAGAAAAAAAAAAGAATATATCTCTTTTTTTGCCAACAATGATTATAAACTTAAAAATATACATATTCTTATTAGAACTTTTTATTGACCAGCTATTTATAATCAAATAGATTTTGACTACAATTACAGCTAAAAAAAGTGTTAAACTAATAGTTCAAAAAACATTTTGTAAATTTAAGATTTGTTTTCCTTCTAAAAACCGGTTGTTTAATTTGTATGTACTAATAGTGAGGAATTATAGAGATTTAGTTACATTTTATAAATTAGATTATGTGATAATATTTAATAAAAATATGTTCACATAAATATTCAAATAGTATGATTGTATGTATGTCAAACTATTTTTTAACAAAAAAAAAAAACTTTTTGTTACAAAATAAATTATTTATGAATGAAAACTTTGCCACAGAGTTAAAAAATAATAAATTATTTACTACTGTTAAGATTCATAATTATCGTATAAACATTCATAATCATATCATTCTCCTTCAAGATGAGCTTTATAATAATGGCGGTGCTAACTTTCTCTGTTTTCTGATTCCTCACTTTGTCCAATAATTGATGGTGGATGATGGAACAATTTCAAACATCAACATTCAGATCCAAATGGTCAGTGAGTTCTTCCCAACGTTGACTTTTATATTTGAATTTTTAATTTTCTGCATTTTTCAATTATCATATACAATTCACTAATATATATTTTTCATGTACCATGCAATTCCATCAAAACAGGACCCATGTACTACAGAGGAATCTACCATCTATTTTACCAGTACAATCCCAAAGGAGCTGTTTGGGGCAACATTGTATGGGGCCATTCAGTATCAAAGGATCTCGTCAACTGGAAAGAACTTCAACCCGCTCTATACCCGTCCAAACCCTTTGACAAATACGGCTGTTGGTCCGGTTCGGCCACAATCCTCCCGGGCAAAGGACCTGTCATACTCTACACTGGAGTCGTTGACAAGCGAAGCAATGAGGTCCAATGCATAGCTATACCCGCAAATTCATCTGATCCGCTACTCACAAAATGGGTTAAGCCTGATCTCTTAAACCCGATTGTGACTGCAGATCACGGCATGAACGGATCGGTGTTTCGAGACCCGACCACTGCATGGTTGGGCAAGGATGGACAGTGGAGGATACTTGTTGGTGGCAAGAGGGAAGATACAGGAGTAGCCTATTTATATAGGAGTAGGAATTTCTTGAAATGGATCCGGGCCAAGCACCCGATCCATTCGGCTAAAAGAACAGGAATGTGGGAGTGTCCGGATTTTTATCCAGTTTCTTTGGAAGGGAAAAACGGGTTAGACGCGTCGATGGTGGGTGATAATGTTAAGCATGTGCTAAAGAATAGCCTTGACATAACAAGGTACGAATACTATACAATTGGAACGTATATCCAAAATCAAGACAAGTATATACCAGATAAAATTTCAGAAGATGGTTGGGGTGGCCTTAGATATGATTACGGAAACTTCTACGCTTCCAAATCATTCTTTGATCCAAGCAAAAATCGAAGGATCATCTGGGGATGGGCAAATGAATCTGATACAAAAGAAGATGATGTTAAGAAAGGATGGGCAGGAATTCAGGTAGCATCATAGTGTTATCTTCATTCCTAGTTATACCTATTACCTATTGTCATCATTTCAATTTAAAAAGTTCTTTTGTTATGAAAGATAGTACTAATTAAGGGATGTGTTTTGAAATTTTTCAGGCAATTCCAAGAACTGTGTGGCTTGATTCTAGTGGGAGACAGTTAAGACAATGGCCAGTTGAAGAATTAAATAGGCTAAGAGGGAAAGAAGTTGAAATGAACAACCAAAAGCTTAAGAAGGGAAGTTATGTTGAAGTAAAAGGGATTACTGCTGCTCAGGCTGATGTGGAAGTTACATTCTCATTCTCAAGCTTGGACAAGGCTGAGGCATTTGATCCTAAGTGGGAGAATGCAGAGGATCTATGCGCACAAAAGGGTTCAAAAGTTCGAGGTGGGGTTGGACCATTTGGACTTTTGACATTGGCTTCGAAAAAACTTGAAGAGTACACTCCTGTGTTCTTCAGAATTTTCAAAGCTTCAAATAAACACAAGATTCTCATGTGCTCGGATGCAAAAAGGTATGTTGTCTAACTTATGTGTTCTTCCGATTAACTAAAATGTTTTCTAACTAGTGTATACTTCTATACAGTTCCTCTTTGAACCGGGAATTGTACAAGCCGTCAGTAAATGTGGATTTGGGAAATACTAAGAAACTTTCTCTCAGGAGTTTGGTATGTCCATAACACACTTCACCTATAAGACCTAGCTATAATACTAAATAATACTTACTTAATGTTTGAATCTGATGCAGATTGATCACTCTGTAGTCGAGAGTTTTGGAGTTGGAGGGAAAACAAACATATTGTCTAGAGTTTATCCAACGCTAGCAGTGAAAGAAAAAGCTCATTTGTTTGTGTTCAATAATGGTACCGAGCAGATCACTGTGGAGAACCTAAAGGCATGGAGCATGAAGACCGCTCGTCGAAATTAACCACCTATAAATCAATATCAATGAACAAATAAAGTATTAAATAGTATTTCCTCTCTTATTATTGTATCAAAAAAGGATAGGCTTAACTCTAAGCCATTAATAATTCGCTGTATCTCTATCTATAATGTAGTCATTTGAAGTGAGAGACTCAATACTATAATATGGTTTTAATCGGGTGTGAATGAAATTCTAATAGAAGATTTCATCTTATCTAATCACCATTCCAACTCGTTTTGATTTTTAGACTCTTAACATAACCTAGAATCAAGTGCGGCCGCACACGGGCATTTCCCAACTAATTCATCATCTATTGATAATGTAGTATTAAAAATGAATCCTCAAAAACAAATGACTAATATGAAAGATATCAAAATGTCGAACAAGTATAAAGTCGAATGCCACAAACAAAACTAAAATCATTCAAACATCGGTCCTAAACAACCATACTAAGCAAGTGATCAACTGGATTAATCAACTACCGGCCACCAGCTCACCATACAAGAAGAACACCATCAGAGCCATAATCTACTTAATCTTTTTCTTAGGCCTCAACTGCAAGATGATATATCGTAAACAATGTTACATTTCAGTGATGCACAGTTTTAGACAACAACGACATTATATTAAAAAAAATATCATGGAAATTAGCCACACCTGATTACTGTGACCACACTTCTTTTTCATGCAGTTCACAGCCCTTGGATGCAAACGAGCATAGCATCTAACAAACCAAAAACGTTAAAATTGTTAAATACCAATGTAATTAGTTTAACACTAACATCCAATAATTTTACACTAGTTAGTTACAAAAGTGTAGTGATGTGACCAAACTAGTGAATTTTCATTGAAAATCAGAGTAAAACAAGTTTACATTGAAGGTGTGTATGCTTTAAATCCTTAAAATTACTACCTTAAAACAAAATCAGTTAAAAAAACAGAAATACTATAATGAAGAAAACAGGGTTAAGGTTGTAGAATGAAAAAAACATACTTGCGGCAATGGTCTTGTCCTGGTTGTACTTGCGAGCTAAAGCCATCAAAGAAGGTTCTATGATACCTCCACGAAGCCTGAGCACGAGATGAAGTGTGGATTCTGCAAAACCACAGAAATACTATAATGAAGAAAACAGGGTTAAGGTTGTAGAATGAAAAAAACATACTTGCGGCAATGGTCTTGTCCTGGTTGTACTTGCGAGCTAAAGCCATCAAAGAAGGTTCTATGATACCTCCACGAAGCCTGAGCACGAGATGAAGTGTGGATTCTGCAAAACCAGTTTATCCAATAAATTAAAATAAAAAATAAATAAATAGATTAAGAAAAATGAAAAATACCCTTTTGAATGTTGTAATCAGCTAGGGTTCTTCCATCTTCGAGCTGTTTTCCGGCGAAGATCAAACGCTGCTGATCCGGCGGGATGCCTGTATAATCCAAATGTCAGAAATTGGGGGAAATTGTATTGAATTTGAATGTCGCTACTGTCGACTTCAAGGGTTATCGTTTTTCCTGTTAGGGTTTTCACGAAAATCTGCATTGTTTAGGATGATTTTTACAACTGAAATTGTAATTGCAAAACGTGAATGAAGCGAGAGAAATGGAACTATATACGTTTGGTTTTTCCGGGTCTTTTCTAGGGTTTCGTTGAATTTGAGACACGAACCGGTGAAAATGAAAAAACCATAGGTGAAAATGAAAAAAACCGAAAAAAACCATACTTGACAGCTGTGGGATTTGAACCCACGCCCTTTCGGACCAGAGCCTAAATCTGGCGCCTTAGACCACTCGGCCAAACTGTCTTGTTGTATGATTTCATCAACTTTGGCTTGTTATCTTAAACAATCTTAGAACACCAAGTTATATGATTTAGTGTTGTTTGTTAGTTCTTGTGACCTTTCCACCAATATGCTTGCATAAGGTTTCGTGTCAAGGCTAAAATATGTGATTGTTGAATTTGAATCATCTGTAAGTATCTTGATAGTTGGCAGGTAATTTCTATCCTGCATAGCTTGAAAGATAGTAAATTCTCTATTGATTGTTTAGCTAAAACGAATTCAAAGTTTAAAGATTCAACGCTGATTTTGTGTTCTAGTCCTGTCTTGATATGGATAATTTATATTGTTTGAGTGGCTCGTTAAAAAAAAAACAACCTCCGGGTTGAGGTGGAAGAGTATTAAGGATTGTATTGAAAGTATCACATTATATTCAATCAATATGGAATTAGGATCAATTATTCTAGCAGAATAGAATGTTACAAGCTTTTGAGCCTTATTTCTTATTCATATATAATTTGTTCTAAAAGAGAAATCATTGCTAAATTTAATACAAGAAAATACAAATCCTCCAGAATTAGTCAAATGGATCAATTCTCAGGTCATGTTCACTTGCCATCTTCATCCCAGTGCAAAGGCAAGTTGGACACATAACCTAAAACAAAACACATAAGACAATTTGTTAAAATTACTACTACTTGCAATCAAAATTAACCAGTTGCGTATATTAGCAAATGAATCAGACGAGACACGCCGCCAGATTGTGTACCTTTCCAGCACCGGAGCAATTTGGACATCTTTTGGTGGTAGGAACTTGCAGGGGTCTAACAGTAGCACCAGATGCTGAAATCGCATCAATGTCCAAGCATACACCGCTTGTGGAACACCGAGCACAAGCCAAGTAACCTGTCCGTAAATAAAATTACAAACTGTATAAGACGCAAGTTTCGGATTTAACTCATTCTTACAAAACCGTGAGGCGCGTCATTTTTTATAAATCCTTTTTAGACCTTGTATCTTTATTAAGAGAGTGACAATCTCCGAAGTAGAAACATACCAGTTCCAAGACAATACTTGCACCTTGTTTTCTCTTGTTGCTCAACATTATTAGCCTCAATTAACATCAGTACTGAAATCACGCCAACTGCTCCACCCGAAAAGGATGCCACAATTGGATCGACCTGACTGGATTCACAAACCAAACGAATCGTAATCAGGTATTGATCAAGTAAATCTACTATTCGTCAACACAACAATTTCGGTCTTTCTGACCGACATAAATCGGAAATTGATTATGTCAGATAATCAAAGAAGAGTATACCTTAGTTGCAAAGGCAAATGCAAGCTTCTTATGAAATCCTCATATGAGGTACCACCAATACCCAATTTCAGTTCCAGCTGCCATTAGACACAAATATCAATAGAGAATAAAAGGATCCATTAATAGACTCACAAATAATTTAGGTTGATTGATTGAATAGATCAAAAAATGAAATGAATAAGGAGATAAATTACCGTCGGTGCAATAAGCCCGCCAAATACAATTATTGCAGATATGAATGATGCGCCTGTTAGATAGAGATTCTTTAAAGTGTTGGGTGTCTACTTCAATTCGAAAAGCACACAAATTAGTTAAGATAAAAGAATGACTCGAATAGAAAAGATGTTCAACACAAGCTGTTTTACAAAATTCTTCGATGTGAAAACCATTAGTGTCTTATTTAAACTATTATATTCATGTGACTAAGCTTCTTCACTACTTTTAGAAATTGGTACAGAAGGATGGTTCAATCAACAACACAACTCAACACCAATAGCCTAATAACAAAAACAAAGTTTTGAAACTCACCACATGAGGAAGAAAAGGAATTGATGAAGGAATTTCCGGCATCTCATTTGCATCCTCCTCTCCCTCTTCAGTAAAAGCTCTTTGTATTCTTCTTAGCCGTTGCTGCACACGCAATCTCCTTACCTGCCATACTCATTTCTCATTAGCCATTATCAAAACTGTGGCTATACCAAGTTTGGATCGGCTTTTTTGAACTTATTTAGACCCCATAAACGTCATATGTTTTTTTCAGCTAATTTTTATAACCTCTTTTCTATAGCAAATGAAAACAACTTATAACTTATATGAAAACAATTTAACTGTTTTATCTATTATCATTGAACTAGTTTAATACATAAGCCCTTATACCATATAAGTTGTTATCCAAATTTCGCAGAAATATGTAAAAAATTAGAACAATTAATGAACCATGAGAAGTATGAAATATGAACTAACCTCTTCCATGAGAAGAAAGATTTTGTTGCGCCTGCTCTTTATGTTGTCTTGAATTTCCTGCACTTGCATCTGAACAAAATCCTGAACAGTTTCTGGCCCCTCAATAATGCAAAAGTTGCTGATTAAAAAAAACAACTTTTTATCAAACCAGTGGAAAAGTTTCAATTTTGAATCAAATTAGAGACACCCAATAAATTAGAGACACCCAATAGGCAAAACAACAAGTACACAAAACAAACGAAAGAAAAATACAAACTTTGGTGTGATTTCACCGGAGCCTGCATCCTGTGGAGAAGAGCAAGCAATTATCTTTGACTTCAAGAGGGTGTGTTTGGAAAACCCAAATTGGTTGGTGTTTCCTTTAAAGCTTGTGGCACATAAAATGGAGTTTTTTGAATGTGATGGGAAAGGTAGAATTGTGGAAGAAAGGGAAGTTGAGGAGGGAGAGAAAGTATTCATTGATTTGGGTTTGAGTTTGAGGTTAAAGAAGAATCATTAGAATGAAAGTGGTTGTGAATTGTGAATGGTGAGAAGTGGGAGAGTGATGGAAAACTCTACCCAACAACAACAGAACAGACAACAGTTGCTAAGGATGATACGTCACCAGGAACAATGAATACATCGGTTTTTATTTTTTTTAAGGATAGTGTCCTCCAAGGACAAACAATGTGCCATGGCATCTTTCGTAGAAGGGGAAAACAAGATTTTTTTTTTTTTTTTTTTTTGGTTTAATATCATTTTTCCCCTCCATATAAGATATTATTGATTTTCTTTTAATTCCAGCTATGCTTCAATTATTTTAATCTTACAGATTTAGATTTGAAAATGTACATAAATAAATAAAGTTTGCTCCTAATGGAAGTTGAACTTAGGTCCCTCATGTACAAAAGGGGCACTTCTTCTACTAAGTCAAGTCATGTATGTTTTTGTAATAATGAGATTTATTTATCTTTAGAGATGTTAAAATGAAATTAGAAAATTACAAATCAAATTAAATCAAAATGTAAAAATTGCATTTGATTTGAAAGTATTTGGATCATCTTTTAACAAAATTGCGCGATTTAGATTAGTTTGTTGTTTGTATTTTACAAATCAAAACAAACCGAATCAAAGCGCATTATATTACAATTTAAAATTCACATAACTCACATTCAACCCAAACTTAAACCTATTATGTCTTAACCTAATAATTACAAACGATTTTATTTTCCTCACACCTAGGGTTTCAGTTTCAGCATTCTAAAATTTCTCCTAACAAAATCGCGTCTTCTTCGCCACATACTTCTTGCCTCATCTTCTCTAATCTCTACTTTCTTATATTTTTCTTTTTCACCTTCGCATTTTTATGCAATTGTTCACTCTTACAATTTCGCTTTTATCTCAGTTCTTCTTCTTTAATCTCTTCTCTATTTTGTTCCTTCTTTTTCATCTTCACTAATCTCTAATTTAATATTCCATATCCTATTAAGTGCTCTATTTGTTGTCACTTGAGACAGATTAAGCTCATTTATGCTCTATTTGTTGTTAGTTTGGACAAATAGAGTAACCAGTGGACTCAGAAGAGATCATTTTCAGAGATTGACCATTATTAATAAGTACAAGAAGAAACATTTTGGTAACCTCGTTAAATGGTAAATTAGTACTATAAGACAAATCTCAATTAAGATATTTTTCTCTCGTTTCCTTTATATATATATATCTGTGTGTGTGTGTGTGTGTGTGTGTGTGTGTGTGTGTGTGTGTGTGTGTGTGTGTGTGTGTGTGTGTGTGTGTGTGTGTGTGTGTGTGTGTGTGTGTGTGTGTGTGTGTGTGTGTGTGTGTGTGTGTGTGTGTGTGTGTGTGTGTGTGTGTGTGTGTGTGTGTGTGTGTGTGTGTGTGTGTGTGTGTGTGTGTGTGTGTGTGTGTGTGTGTGTGTGTGTGTGTGTGTGTGTGTGTGTGTGTGTGTGTGTGTGTGTGTGTGTGTGTGTGTGTGTGTGTGTGTGTGTGTGTGTGTGTGTGTGTGTGTGTGTGTGTGTGTGTGTGTGTGTGTGTGTGTGTGTGTGTGTGTGTGTGTGTGTGTGTGTGTGTGTGTGTGTGTGTGTGTGTGTGTGTGTGTGTGTGTGTGTGTGTGTGTGTGTGTGTGTGTGTGTGTGTGTGTGTGTGTGTGTGTGTGTGTGTGTGTGTGTGTGTGTGTGTGTGTGTGTGTGTGTGTGTGTGTGTGTGTGTGTGTGTGTGTGTGTGTGTGTGTGTGTGTGTGTGTGTGTGTGTGTGTGTGTGTGTGTGTGTGTGTGTGTGTGTGTGGAGGGGGGGGGATTTGTAAGAGAAGAACAAGAAGAAGTGGATAAGAATAAGCGGAAAGAAAGAAAGTTAGGAAAAGAGAAAGAGAGAAAGGTAAAGAAAAGAGAGAAAGAAGAAAAGGAAGAATGGAAGAAGAAGAGGAAAGTCATGGAATCATCATCATCATCACCAATTTCATCTTATCTTTTACACCAACTTCACCAATCAAGGTGAGTTCCTATATATATATATATATATATATATATATATATATATATATATATATATATATATATATATATATATATATATATATATATATATATATATATATATATATATATATATATATATATATATATATATATATATATATATATATATATATATATATATATATATATATATATATATATATATATATATATATATATATATATATATATATAAGAACAAGAAGAAGTGGATAAGAATAAGCGGAAAGAAAGTCAGGAAAAGAGAAAGAGAGAAAGGTAAAGAAAAGAGAGAAAGATGAAAAGGAAGAATGGAAGAAGAAGAGGAAAGTCATGGAATCATCATCATTATCATCAATTTCATCTTATCTTTTACACCAACTTCACCAATCAAGGTGAGTTTCTATATAATTTTAGCCTTTGAAAAAATTCATGTTTTAGGAAGTTAGGGTTTGTGTGCAAATATGTCATATGAGAACCTTTTGTATCATACATGATATTATGATGCTTTACATGTTTTGTTGTGATAAATCATGTTGTCTTGGGTTATTGGGTGCATCAAAATAATATGTGTTGGCCTTTTGGTTGATTTTCCCTTTCTTGTGTTGTTTTTCATTTTTCCGAATTTTGTAGGCTTCGCTAAGCGAAAGAATTACCCGTTAAGCAAGAAGCAGAATTTATCTAGCTATGTGGCTACTATTTTGCCTCGCTGAGCGAGCATGACAGCATAGGGGGAAATGTTATTTCCTTGTTTCCATCATAAATGAGAATCGTCATTCCGATTGATATGAGGTCGAATATTTTAGAATAAGGTGGAATTCATGATATGAAATGGTATAATATGTTATGACATGATAGGGCAAGTTTTTTGTGGTTAAGGATTGAAGAAAATGGGTTTAAGAGTGATATTTTTGCCTTGTTGTGTTGTCATTTTCGCTAAGCGAGACAGGTCCTCGCTTAGTGAGATTTGTTGTCATGAAAATTCCAACAACATTGAAAATAGTGTATCTTGAGCTTTGTAACTTGAAATGAAACGCGGTCGGATGCATTGGAAATCTTGTTTAAAGCTTTATATGATCATGATAATTGACGATACTCATGTGCATGTTTGTTTGTGGTGAGTGGAATATACTCTCCTTTTCTTATGTGTGCCTTATTACTTATGTTGTAATGTGTTTGCATTGAATGAACAATAATGGATTAAAACCTATGATAATGAGTGAGGAAAACCTAGGAGTATGGATAGGTGAATGAGTTAGTAAAGGATAACTAGGTAGTGATAGATGACTTAGATGGTGATATTCTGACACGAATGTACCTCGGTGTGTACAGTGGACTGCTATTCGCTAAAATGGAATCATATTTGTGAACTAATATGATTTGTATGTGACATGATTTATTATTATGAGATATGTGGATGTGATCACCTAGTGATTCATGAGTACAATCACGTTGTGTTTGATGGACTAGTCATGCATTCAGAAATAACCCCATTGTCGTGTCCGTCCCAAATTGTGATGCTTATGAAAAGTAAGGATTGGGATACATGCATTATTGCTCCGCATCAATCAAATGGGTTAGAGTCCCGTATTTCAACTAAATGGATTAGAGTCCCATATTCCAACCAAATGGGTTAGAGTCCTATAGAAGACGTGGACCTCAAAGTGGGTTAGAGTCTTAGTATCGAAAGGATATTTGCATTGTATGGAAACATGTAACTTGAGTTCACATAACTCAATAAATCATTAATCAGAAAAATGTCACAAAGCATTTCCCCCGACCGGACCTATGTCTAGGGCAAGGCTTGGGTCACAAATGTTTGTATGATTTCAATTTCGCGTGGATTTGGGTTCTCCATGGGACTTAAACCCTCTTTAAGAAACATCACCCATATGGGACTCAAATCCACTTAGGGTATCTTTCCTCGTATGAGACTCGAATCCACTTAGAGGTCCACCTCTCCTCTATGAACTCAATCCATAGTTGGGACTCAAACCCATTGTGAGGCACAATTCATTGGTGCCTACATCCCAATTCTACTTTACATATGTATCTCAATTGGGATGTGTACGATTAATGGTTATTTCTAAATACGTGATTAGGTTCCAACATGTCGTGATTGCACTCATCAATCAATAGGTGATCAAATTCACCAATTCTCATATCATCACAAAATGTTCCATACAATGCCTATATATTCATAATTCAAGAGACTACTCGTCCATGGTACACACCGAGGTACCTTTGTGTCCAAGCGTCACCATTTAAATCATGTTTATACCCTACGTTATCTTTCTAACATTCTAAACTAGTCAAGATTCTAGGTTAAATCACATTCATTTTCATGGATTTTGATCAATTATTGTTAATTAAATGCATACATATCATAATATAAGTTATAAGACACCTATGATAACTTTGAATCATCAAATAAGTGGTTTTTTGCAAAACACGGGTGAACCAATTGATTTCCAGTAAAGACCAATCGATTGAAAATTGTTTTTGTCCAACATTTTTCACTAAAATCAACAGGACCAATCAATTGGTCCAGGGTGTCAATCGATTGACCCCAGTACTTTTTCAAATTCTTCATAATTTCATGACAGACTAATCAATTGTTCGTGGGTTTCTCTACATGTCAATCAATTGGTTCATGCTTTTTCTTCAAAAATACCACTTATAAACACATCATCTTCCAACTTTAACAATCCTAAACCATTCCAATTTATAGACCAACACAAATTCATATAATTATGAGTCATAACTTCAAGAAATGAGAAGATAACACAACAATCTACGTCAACACAACATAATATCATGGTTTATCACAAAAACACTAATCATGGTAAGATTTTACATTGAACAACATGAATCATCATAAGTAAGCATATAACAACAAGAAAAAACATGTATCATCATCAATTTCTATGATTAGAGCAAAACACATAAACCCTAAGTTTCTCAATCCAT